TTTCCCGTACCCTAAGCAGGGTGAGCAGCACTGGTTTCGAACCGGTAACCTCTATCTTCAGTGGCAACCACCTTTACGCATTTTCCCGTCGACGGTGACGACCATCAATGCGACGGCCGTATCCCGTTTAGGTAGAAGACCGCGAATAAGCGTGTGAGGCGTAATTGGAAAACGACATCGGCTATGTGCAGCCCGCAAAAGCACCGTTTCGGAATCCGTAGGATTAACCGCGTGCGGTACATGTGAAACCAGTCGCCATCATCGAGCAACCGCCATTTCCTCCACGCAAGTAGCGAGTCAAACTGTAAGTAACATGCATGTTCACTAAATTCCCATGCACACGGTGAGTTAAAGCCCCTAACATAGCATAACCGCTAGCGAAGCCGCTGTTTAGTCAGCCGTTACCCTTTCCGATCCGCGCAAGTGTCGGTAACGCCAAACTGCTTGTTTGGTGTAAACAACAAAATCAACACCAGTTGTCGCACAGCACACTAAGTAAATACCGCCAGAAGAAAGAAGAAGAAGATAGCTAGCTATAGGCCTAGAATAATAAATGTCGACAAAGTAGGAGTATGGAAATAAACCACGATGAATAAGGTTTGAGCTGAATAGGATGCATTTTATAAAAACCAATACACTACCGATAAAATTTTTATGGACATTCTATTCCAAAAGGATCTAGAAAGGCGAATGTAAGGTTTTTTTTCACGTTTCGGGTCGTTTTCATTAAGTTTTCTTTTTTTTTTGTAGTATTTTACTGGGGAAGTTGGCCCCGAACCCAACCCGGATATCTCTCTATTCGAACGGGATCCGTTCGAAGTGTTGTGTCAAGTCTGCCCGTGATGATAAAATCCGCGACAGCAACTTATCGTTGGCAGAAATCGTTTTCGTGTATGCTTAATTCTTTTCATTTAATTTCACGATAATAGGTCGTGGGCATTCCCATCCTTACCGTAATCAATCGACGGCTAACTTGCTTCCCGCAAATTCACTAGTCTTGGTAGATGGTCTCCCTCGGGAGTGGCGCTTAAGCAATTTTTACTAAAATAGGCTGTCGGGTTACAAGGGGACCTCCTTCGAATGGGTGATATCAGTTGCTTAGTCATTTGACGAAGGCAAGGATCATTCTCATTTGAGAAACGCTTGATATCATTCAGTTGAGTGTAACCTACACATAAACGGAGCTCTGGTTGACATTCCGGCGAAAAAGCTAAACCAATCCGACACTTGACATCCGACTTCTACCAAACCCCAACCCGACGTTGACCCGACATAAACCCAAAATTGACTCGACATCGACCCGTTTGTCTGTTTGGGTCCATTTTGCTGGGTTTCTTCCATACTCCACTGTCGTATATCAATTGATAGTGAGTTACTCAATTGACAGTGTCGATGAGGCTCGAATGAAAAAGGGGCTCTTCAAATTATGGGCATGTGAGAATTCTTTTTCACAGAATTTATTGAATGGTTGTTGTTGGTTTTCGGACCAACGGTACTCCTAAGGGTAAATTCCGGAATAATAATCACCGCAATGAAGCACAGAATGTGGGTGTTATTAAACGGTAGATTATAATTTTCCTCGTGGTTAACAAGGTGTACATGAATTTTGTTAGTAGTGTGTGTGAATTTATATTTTAACATGTTTCTATGTTGGTTATTGCATAAGTGGGTGTCAATGTATGTCTATACAATAAATTCACCGAAAGTTGACTTACGTTTAGTCCCTTACGTTCAGTCCCTGTCTAGTCGGATCGTGTATTTTCGCTGTCGTTGTTGTCTACAATTACCATTTAATCAATGTTTAGCATAAGTTTAACTGAATTTGCCTTACCGTGATTGTGCAGTTTAGCAGATAGATTTAGGTTAGGCTCGCAATAGGCGGTAAACGACGCAATGCTGGATTTTACATATTTCATTAATTTCATTAACTTTACGTTATTGCAATATAGTATTACGTGTAGACGTAAGTCAGCAAATACTAATCGTAAGCTCCTTTAGATTTAACACACTAATTTAAGTTAAATTTTAGTAGTAACTTCGAAAAAGATTTATCTGCACACTATTTTGGTTAAATTGTGTTTTATGTTCTGCTGTTTTTCCTTATCCTAATCACCCTTTGACAGCCGTTGACATTACATGTCATGCCGCTTCTCCGACCGCCAACAGTTGTGTTGGTTCATTTTCAATCGAATGATTTGAAAGTTAACAGCACTGTTTACAGGTGTTGTGACAATGACGGAACACCAATCGCGGGCGGTCAATCATTCTCATGCTCATCCTGAGTTGCTCAGTTGCTTTTTCATACCTGAAACAATCGAATGTTAACATCATTGCATTTGGCATTCAAGTTAAAGCAAATACATTCTGCATGGGCAAAGTTTACATTGCAGAAGTGGTATGTGATCTTTGATGATGTTGTTATTTCATTTATTTTTTTAATTATAGGGTAAGCATTTTGTTTGTTTGGGCTAGCCTGCAAGCATTAACATTATGAAAAGTATTCTTTTCCATGACACAGTGTTGATCTTACAATTCAATTACCAATAGGGGAAGTGCACCTGTTATGGCACTACTTCTTCAGTTTTATGCATGCACCAGTCAGAGCCAATGTGATTTAAATGGGTAGAACCCAAATACTGGTACCATTGCGTATATGGGACTGTGGCATAACTGGTACATATGTCATAGCTGGCTCACCCACCCTATGTATCATCATTTTATACAATATTCTGCATGAATATTGACGTCATCCGAACAATAAACCATCCGGTATGGTTCGCATTCCGAGTTCGATCAACCGTTCCTAAAACACATAGTTCGCCGGTCGAATATTTCGCTATAAAAACCTGAGCTCTGGTGGCATAGAAATTCCCCCGCATCTTCATTCACAATCACTTCCCAGTATACAAAGGCTGCAAGGGCGTTAAACCAACCCATCTGTAAGAACGTGCTCGGCATGAGGCCTCCCTTTTCGAGATGGCCCATGTTGCTACTGAGGACATAAGGGCGGAGAATGGCCTATTCGATTTCCTTTCGTCGTGACGATTTATGACTTCTTTTCCGGATGAATGCCACTTTTATAGTTCCATAGAAGGAAAGCGACAGAGTCTGGTTTTCGGCTAACGCACTTAGTGGTAACATTAGACGGCCCCACTCGATGTTTGGTTAGGCTATTTTGCCGGCCGGCCAGCCTACTGTTTTCATGGCCGTCGTGAGTGGTTCTCTGTATAAATTGTGGGTCTATATTTTGCGAATGTGGCCTGAATCTGAATCCGGCCAAAGGTCGGTGACCCGGATGATAAAGGATACCCGATAACGAGAGCAGTCGGAAGAAAAACAGTTAGGGGAAACGCACCTATTTTGGCCATGTTTTGATGGTATTTCACGTTTTTCACGTGTTTGAGAACTTAAGTTGTGTTTAGATTGTTGATTCAAACCTTATTCATTAGGATACATGCACGAATCACCCACAAAACGTACGAAGATTGTGATATAATCGTATTTTTTTTATGGAAATATGGCCAACACTGGTGTACTTACTCTACCTACAGTTTTCGTCTCTGCTAATGCCCACTTCTGGCAATGTGTTTACGCCCTGAGCTGTAATTCTGCCCCCGTGCACATTGCTTCTAATTAGGTTTATTCATTAACATCAACAGCTTCTGAAGGGAAGTAGTGACAGAATTAATATTACTAGCATCCAAAATAGTAATTAAGGGGACGTAAGCTGTTCATGGAACTACTGGAAATACTGTGTTGGTATATTTCTAAATTGAAAAGGCGCTTTTTGGCATTGGCTTAGACAATTCAAGTTTACCAAGTTTTATTAGAATTTCTTAAGGTTATATTTTATAATTGTTTCAAGAGCATGTTCCAAAAGTAGCTCAATCTTATTTTCTGCAAGAATACGTCTTATGGATAATTTTATTGCTTTACAACGGAGGCTATGAAGAGATTTGAAGAAACTTAAAATTGCTCCAGAAGATAAGAAAGAGCCCAGTTAGAAAGATGAGAGTGTTTCTTTTCACCCTTGCTGAAGATTTTTCTATTCTTTTCAATCAAACTTTACGGTTTTCCTCACGTTCGGGAAACGCTAATTAACGTAATCAAATAAAAAATCAAACAACGCGAAAAAAAAAACCAGGATATGTTTAATTAACATCATCCGTGAATTATGTCATGATGCTCTTTTTTTTTTATTTTCAGAGATCAGTAACAATTTGCACATTTATCTGGACGGCGGAGAGTTGATGAAAGATTACTTGTTTGTTGGTACTTTTATTTCATCCGTAATAACTTCAAAGGAGTGTAAAAAGTGTTTCATGTTTGTTTCCTTGAGTGCAAAGTATTATGCATAATTAGACATCAAACTAATACTAGTGCTACGAAATTTAATGGTGGTGCATCTTTAAAACCGTTGATCGAGAACAAAACACAAGAAATTCATACGCATAGAGCAGTTTTAGACCAAATGATGAATCGATCGGACTCGGCCTTGCAATTTGACAACAAACAGTATATGGCCAAATCAAACGCGCACTCTTTTGCCAGTGGATTTGAGGACATACTTCAAATCCCCTCATCCATAAATGTATCAGCTAGGTAAAGGAGTGTGCGTTTGTTTAGTATTGTCGTATTAATGGCCCTTCGCTCAATTTCAACTTCTGTTCAATTTTCACATTGCCGTACTTCAGCGCAACAATCAATCTATCTTCTGCAGAACTTTCTCCATGTTGATATAAGAATAGCATTTCCTCCCAACTCTGAAAATGGTAAACTTCACGTACGAAGTAACAACACACTTTGATTGAATGTTTTTTTTTTAGTTTTTGCTATCTGGCCTTGGACTTCTCCGTTGATCTTTTCCCAGGTCTTTATAAATATCAAATACTAGTATTCGTAAAAAGTTGCACGTTCTGCTATTCTTGCTCTCGTATATATATTGTTTCAAGTCAATAGTCTTTTTAACGATGTATTTTTTTTTCTTCATTTCCTTCTAGACTGAACAATTCGCAGTATTATGGGCACTGTTCGCCGTGATAGTGCTGGGAAACTCAGCCGTGCTAGTGACGTTATTTTTGAACAAAAACCGAAAGTCCAGGATGAACTTCTTCATCAAGCAACTTGCCATTGCAGGTAGGTGTATATGGTTGAACATAGTTATGGTGACATGGGTTGAATAACAAATTTGTGATGATCACAAGAATAATTATAAATAGTTAAAAGAGAGAGCTGAAACAAGGACCCTGTGGTATACAGAGTTGGTGCGGAATAGTAATAATAATTTGTTTGTATAATAATATATAGAATAAAGTTTGACCCCTCAAGTTTTGACACACTCATTTTGAGTTGAATTCAGTTAGCGTGTACCGTTGATTCAATGGTCTAAATAAACTCACACGCAGGCATGCGTGAACGAACTGAGCCTTGAGTGCTCGTCTTGTGCATCGCTTCGCATGATTGATGAATTTACGTTACAGTCGACCAGCAGATGGAAATGATGTCAAACAAAACTTTTTGTTCATTGTCTTCTTACCTTTTTCCATATTGCACTGTTCAAAAATTCAAAAGCTATACTTATGGAAAATTTTCTCAGCTTCAACTTAGCAGAATATAGTTGTTGAGCCAAACGTCAAATAAAATAGTTATTAATTGTTTAAGAGATTGATAATCTTATGGCATGATCAAGCAGCTGTTTTGTGAGCAACACTGTATCTTGCAGTGTGACATAGTAGCCATGATTTTTGTGCTCTATTCCAAGCGCCAGAAACACCAATGTTGCCTGCTGAACAGTTGATTGAGCATAATCGTAAGACATTAGTGGCTTGAATTATTGATAACTTTTGATGCTTACATTATATTGAAAAGTGGTTAAGGACAAAGTTGTAGCTGAGAAAATTTTCTTCGAGCTCAGTTATCATTTTTTAAAGCAGATCGATATAGTAAATTGTTAGATGGTAATGAACAAAACATTTGGTTTTCCTATAGTAATTTCCATAAAAACTTCAAATGGTTTGTGCCAAGTCAGTTTCTTATCGAATGAGTTCAAATTTTGGGAAACTAATCAGGACCCGATTTGGAACCGTTTGAGCACTGTGGAGCGAAAATGTCAAAATTTGCATCAGTCTAATGTGCATCTCGCTGGTCTTTGTTAAGACTTGACCGAGGCTTGAAACCTCGGTCAGGTCACGACAGGCCTGAACCGCTATTGGACGATGGCCGAAATGGTACGAATGTGGTGAGAAGATCGGTAGCCTCTATGAATCCCAGAGTGGATGCTATTTGCTCTGAATTGAAGAATCAATGTGACGATTGACTCACAGATGGCATGTGGGTAAAAATGGTAATGGCGTTTAGATATCTGTCAAATTGCAGGACATTTTTTTTAGTACATAATCATTTTTGTAATTTCAGATCATAAAACTAGGTGTCGCATGACCAGTTATGGCTTTGCTTTGATTCGCCAATAGTTCTCATGTGATTTCATGTTTCGTGTGATAGGTTTTATCCCTTGTCAAATATTGGAAAGTACTCAGGTTACACCCGGAATATGGCCACTTCCCTGGTTGTATCCGAAACATGTCTGGGTGTAGCCAACGTGGTCCTAGTCATTCAATATGACCACCATTGATCTTGTCTTCGAATTCTTATGCGCTTTGATATGTCACAATGCAATAGTGTTCTATGGAATCATGGTACCTTTCAGATGGCGGTTGATCGGTCCAATTTGGATTAGTAGTTGCACGTTTCTCAAAATTGTATTACCAACAAATACATTAACACGCAAGACGCGTTCAGAGAGCCAGACCAACGGATACAGGCCGAGAGGAGCATAACGCAGAGCTTCCAGCGGCCAAGGCCGTACTTAAACGGGATATAAAGCATAGCAAGTCAAACTGATTTACGGAGCTGTGCCTAGATACAGATTTCAACCCATGGGGTGACGACACTGAAATGTGCCCAGACAAACTCAAAGTCATCATTGCATACTGGGCCAGGAATGCAATCTAGCGGAGCAAAATGAATAACTCCGAAACAAAACGTCAGAGAAAGAAGTTAGAGTGTGGCACTATCTTTGAGGAATAGTTTTGAACTATTTGTTTATGTCAATAGATGGTCCTTATTATAATGAGAAACTTTGCCCAAGACACCAAGTCGCGGAAATGCTTCGTTTCAGAGTTATTAATTTTGCTCCGCTGTAAATTCCTGGCCCAGTGTGATTTGATTGAGGGACTTTTCCTGGAGCACGACCAAATTCGAATATTGTGGTACACTGAAACTTCCATTTACGAACCAAAGCGGAGGTTCGTAAATGGAATTAGAGCGTAAAAAAACTCGCTATTTGGGATCTAATTCGTAAAAAAAATTGTTATTTGAGATTTCCTTTGTAAAAATGGATTTTAAAAACATTGTCGAATACCTTACAATATTGGTATGTTTTTAATCGGAGTGACAAGTACTAACCGGAAATCCATGTCTGATGCCATTTTGAAATCCAAGATCCGGTTACAGAAAAAACTGGGAAATACTGTCAAATACCCCACAATATGGGTATTTTTAGGGTGACGTATAGGGACCGGAAACCCATCCCGAGCAAAGTCCAGCAAGTCATAATTTGATTTCAGTTTACGCAATTGACAAATTTGATACCAAATTTTGTTTTCATTTTGCTGTACATTTGCTCTTCAAAAATATGTTGTTGCGGGTTTGTTTTCATTGCCTTAGCACAACATCAAATTGAATACTTGTTTTGTTATCAACAGGAAAAATTGATATTAAATTGAGTTTTCAGTTTGCTCTCACTGATAGCAGAAATAGTTTTCTATATGATGTCACAGAAAGATTTTTTTGGTCTCATTTTAACCGTTAAAACGACCAAAACTACAGCAACCCGAGTAATCATTATCAGCGAAATCACAACATCAAATTTAGATTTCAATTTGATCTCAGACTTTGCTCGGGATGTCCGATGTCAGTTTCAATTCAAGATGGTGGCATCCGGTTAAAGAAAAACTGAAAAATTCTGTCAAATTCCTCACAACAGCTGCGCCGGTTGTGTAGTGGTAAGCGTGATAACCTCTAACCCTAGCAGGCCTGATTTCAATCCCAGTCGGCGCCGCCCTGGATGAGGCATATTTTTCTGATAACGGGGAATTAACCCACCTACTTTGGACGTTGCCAAACTACTGTTTTTAAATTTAAACCTTTTCAATCAGTTCGGAATTGTCATCATCCTCTGGTACAACATAACTCCGTTTCGGCTATCTCAAGACTCCGTTTATTTCTATATTTCAAACAGTTTTTTTTCTTTCCAAAGTTTTTTGATTATTCTAGTAGGGTAGAGAACTACTTCGGCCTAATCGCCCATTTTGGGCCTATCGAGCAGAAAACTTCAAATGAATCCATGTCAATTATGCGATTGGTACTATACTTTAGTTAATAAGCTACCGAACGAAGTCAATGAGAACGCGTGATATGAAGGTTTGCACCCATTATTCCCAAAAACAAAAGAAGTGCTCCGACCGAATCAATTTTTATCTTCATCCGATAGGCCGAAGTGAATTCATTGGCGTTTCAATGGCGTTTCAATGCGTTATGTGGACCGTACACGATTGCTTTTATTGACAATAATCGTATTGTCAATACATTCAATATTGACGTCAATACATCGGTATTGACAATATTTCTGTATTCACATCATCAATACTAATGTCAATAATTCCCCTTCCCGTCAATATATTGATACGTGTGGGGTTTGCTTTAGGCTGAGTTTAGAATCCGTAGGCCGAGTTTGGCGTCAAGGGATTGGGGTTTCGAACGCCTTTGGATACGGTTGTGTCTTAAGTTTCTTGTCTGTTTTGTGCGTGCATTAGCTTTAATAGTTTTCGGCTGCATTTGCCGGATTAGTGCTGGCACTCTGCCTCCCGGACGGTTATACGTGTGTGAGTGGTGGTTTTCTCACTTTCCGAGAAGTTTTAGAATTGAAAAAGAAAACATGATTCATCATGTTTGCAAGCAACAGAAGATTTGACGCTATCTGCGTTGTTTGATTTTTTCTCCCGGTTCAGAAATTTGTGGCATCGCGAGCGATAATTTTAATTTTAGTTTATTTACGCGGTGATGATGTTGGTTCACTCACAACTATTTTGAAAAAAATTAAGTGTTTTCGAACGAAAGTATACCAAAAGTGCTTCAGAACGTGTTTCGTAGTTGGGTGTGGTGAAATTCGTGGATTCCCGGTTGATTTTGGAAATCCGTATTACAAAATTGCCCACCGATTCCTTTTTTTTTGCCGTTCGACGACGACGGATGTGCTTTCACGAGAGTGACGTTTATATGATCCGTTTCTTTGCACGGGTGTGTTTTTTTTTGTAACTAGCGTAAGTGTGCCTGCGATTTGCATTGAGTGTCGGAGATTGTAAGTAATCTGAAGGATGCCTCGCTGGATACGCCCAAGACTGAACGGGCAGTAGCTGGTGGCCGTGAACGGTTCCTGGGGAAAGCAATAAATGCGACCCTCGTCCCAGATGACCATGGTAATACAGGAAGTATTGGTATTGGAAGGTAATTGCTATTAGATATTTTGCAAACAGTGACAGATAGCGGACATGAAGAACCAGTGGAGGTACCGGGCAAAGGTGTTTATCCTCGAGGGGGGCGACACATCTAAATCTAAATTTTAGATGCTCAAAAAATCTCAGTCTTGCGAATCAATCTTCGAAAAATCTTCTTGTATTTCTCGCATCTACTTGCATCGCGCATCATCTTTTTTGCAGGAAATCTCATTTATCCTAGACAAATGGTAAGTTACAAATTCGCTGTTGTCGTTGTCGTAGGCGCCGTTGTAGTCGCTGTCGTAATCGCCGTCGTAGTAGTAGGCAGTACCGTTAGTATATTTAAAATTAACCACCAACCACTGAAAATATGAATTATCGCGTATTTCTGTTGTTCATTACATGCCAAGCAAAATTCGAGAACGTAATTTCATTTGAATAGCTTGTTCAACCAGGTCTTAAACAATCGTCACGTCAGTCATAGCTTGTGCTGATTACCTGAACCATGCGTAAAGAGAAAATCGAAACATTTAACGTCGCGTGAAAATGGATCTTAATGAAGGCCTCTTTCATAGCTTTTAG